CATGGTTTCAGCTCCCTGCTTCTGCTGCTCTTGGCCACACCCACTTCTCCGCTCTGCACGGAGATCAGCTGATCAGCTGCAGCAAGAAGTATATCCTGTAAGGGCTTCCAAAAGGTGCAGGGGGAAACTTTTTCCATGCCAATCGTGCGGCTCATCCATCAATCAGTCAATTGTGTGTAATGTCCAATCTTTCTTTGAAAAACCTTGACAGAGCGAGTCCGCGATAAACAAACTGCGAAGTAACGAGAAACTACTGTAATTCAATATTTGTTCAATAAACTAAAGCTTCAGCTTTGTTTCTGTTCCTGTTATTTTAATACATTCTTACCTGTTTTCTGCCATGTGTTCATTTAAAGAAATTCTAAGAACAATACACTTGATACTTATGAAAAACAAAAGTTTTTTTCAATATAAACTCAGATTTTGAAAAATAAAGCTCCTAATGTTCCCATAAAACCACATTTTTTCTTCAATATGTCATACTTTTACACTGGCTAATCTAAAGCTGACCAATCAGCACATGGAGTTTGAGGGTGGGGTGGTGGTGGTGGTGGTGGTGTGTGTGTGTGTGTGGGGGGGGGGGGGGTGTCCTCACCTGTTCCCACTCAGCAATCAGCTCAGGTGTCTCCACTTCCTCATCAACCCCAGTCTAATTAGTCTTCCTGTTTCCATCTCCACATCATAGAACTTTTAGCCTTCGTGCCTCAGTTTTGGTCCTCCTGATCCTTGTGTTTTATCTGTAAGAACTTTTGCTGCCAAGTTTTTGTTTTGTTGAATAAAGCTTTTCATTTATGCCTTTGAGCTCCTTGTGTATTTCTACGTTCTGGGTCAAATCTCCACCCTTGACTGTAACACAGAACCTTTATACCAGTGAAAATATCATCAAGCATTAAGAGAACATCTATTATAAATTTTAGGACCTTTTTGTGAATATCATAATCGCTGCAGAACAGAAAAGAAGATCACCATCCCAGACTTGTCATTTTCTTTAATGATTGCCTCTAGTTTATTGATTTTATTTAATGATCAACAGTTTAGCAGTTTTGTATGATTTCTTTTTCAGATTTATGCTTCACGTCTATCGTTCTTGCTCCATTTCCCAAAGGTTTGCACGACAGTTTATATATGTACAAAACTAAGATAAAATTTTATGAATGTAACATGTTTTGAGAGCGTTTCAGTTCTAAATTGATTTAAAACACCATCATCTTCCACCTTTTGTGGAGCTTTTCATTTTGATCTCAGCTCGGTCATTGATGAATATTTGTTTAACCTTGACTAAATTGAAGAATTATAATACAAGAATGTTTTTAGGAGAGGCCGGTCGAGCCAGTTTCCTTTTTCTGTAATTTAATCTGGAAAGAACTTGTACACAAGACGTGGGTGTAACTGTTGCAGATGGCTCCCAGACTAATGAGGATATAAAAAAAGACACAGCAGTGTTCATGTTCGCCCAGCCCCTTTTCATCATTACACCACGGTGTCATTACGACAAAATATCTGTAAACGGCTTCACGCAGCACAGAAAAGACGAGCACGGTGAGTTTTCCTAATGAAGGGTGTTGGAGTCATGATGCTGGCAGGCTTCCTCCTTCTGCTCTTCATCTCTGGTAAGTTTGAACTATTCAGCCCGATTCATGAACTTATTCAGAGAATTTCCTAGCAGTTCAAGGATTTACTGGTAAAAGGTGCCGAACAGTGGATTTTTTTTGTATGTTGGGTGTATTTTTTCTTGCTTTTTTGGCTCCGCTGTTGAGAAACAACCTGAAATTTCAACAATTTTAATATAAAAACTATTCAGTTCAACATAAACAATTTTAAATACTGTTAAATCAGTTTATATCAAATTAAATATTCTTTCTGGATTTGCTTCTTCGGGTTTTAAAATTATAAAATGCTTCAGGGTGGGACAGTTGGTGACAAAACACAATAAAAACCAGAACATCTGTAAAGGACACATGGAAAAATACTTAGTCCTGGAAAAATCTTCTCACTGTTCTAAATAATTAGCAGACTGGTGAAATCGAACCCTCCAGTCCTGCCAGTATCCATCTCATAATGGCCCCTTAATGACCACAATCAATCCTAATGACTGTTCATATTTGTGATGTTCTCATCAAAAGCACAAGACACTAAACACCCCCCATCCCAAAAATTACATTAATGGTAATAATGCTGATTAAGTGTTGTGATGCAAGAAAGAAAGCTTACAGGGTAAAAATAAGGAGTTTATGTTTAATAGTTGTTTTTGTCTTTTTTCCTTCTGTAGATGGAGTTCAATCAGAGCAAGTCTGCAGCTATCAGGATGTTTTAAACTACTTGAACATGACCAGAGACAACGAGCTGTACTCCATGACCCGACCCGTCAGAAACTACAAACAGCCAACACAAGTTTCCCTGGAAGTTCTTCTCTATGCCATTCTAGATGTGGTAGATATTCAGTTCTTTGTTAACCACATCTATCTATCTATCTATCTATCTATCTATCTATCTATCTATCTAT